TTTTAGCAATCAATTTATTATATGAAGATCACATTTTTATCATTAAAATGATCATGTTCAAATCGTTTTCCAAATATTATCTTATTCGATGACCGTCGTACTAAAGTTTGTTTGGTTTTTTTTGTGATGATTTATCTGTGAATATATAATAAATCAAAAACCCTCGATTGAAAGTTAGATTTTCAAAACAGAAATTTGTTTTTATCGTATTTATATTGTTATTCGTAACAGAACCTAATGGGAAAAATGAAAAATAGATCTCATCCATTTATCTAACATGATAAGACAAATAATAGATGCTAAGATTTAATTTATAAAATCTTATCAATTCCAAAATGATTTAATGAGCGGTGCTAAAAAAGTTCATTTTATTTTCCTAATTGTGATTTGAGAAATCTACTCTATAAAATAAAATTTTCTACTTTCATTTTTATCATCAAATAATTCTTAATTTGATGCACATCATCTTGAAAAAAATATTATCAAACATACACATTGATGCCGAAATATAAGAATTTAATCTTGTTTTTGTGTACTCAAAAAGTGAGTACACTACTAAAATCGGTCTGTGTGTCCGTCCGTCCGTCCGTGTACACGATAACTTTCGAAAGGAGAGTCAGAGCGCGATGAAATTTTCTACACAGTTCAATCTTATCAATGTCTCAGTCGAGTTCGAAGATGAGCCTGTTTGGATTAGCCCTTCCTGAGTTATTGCAAAAATACTGATTTTTCCCTATGGCTTCCTATAGGAAAATTGGCTTATCTCCACATTTGTAAAACACTTTTCCTATCATAGTGAAATGAAACCCCAACTATTATACACCGTCCGATAGAGAATTTCACGAGCTACAAAATGGTATATAAAGCATTACAAATTGACCTGAAAATTTTGGGCCAAGGAAAGCGTTTTTTGAGAAAATAGCGATATTTTATAAAGGTTGGCGAAAGCAAATTGGGGTCGAGGAATCTGAATCTGAAGTCAGTTTTTGAAAATTTTGAACCTCCTTTTTTAAGAAAATCTTGATAACTTATAAAGGTTGACGAAAGGAAATCGGCGTAGGCGAATCCGAATCTGAAGTCATATTTCGAAAATTCTGAACAAAAGTTGTTGGATTAAAGAATCGTTTCTTCACTTTTTGAAGTACACATAACACTCTGATTTAAATCCGAGGTTTCCACATTTTTATTTTTATTTCATCTATAAAAGCCGTTATACTCCGGATTTTTTTCTTGTTAACTTCAACTTTATGCATTCATCCAAGCATTAAATTTTCTGAATGATACTCTAGAAGAAATATCTGACTGTAGAGAGATATTTTGTTATGAAATTGATAGGAAGTCACCAGGAAATTTATGAGTACTATCAAGATCTTCCAACAGAACACCATTGGAAAGCTCTGAAAAACCTAAATTCATGAAAATTTTACAAGGATCCCATAAAATTTGGAGAATACCCGAGGAGTTCCAGGGGATTTCTGAGATATTCAACTCTCCAGGGATTTCGCATTTTTCAAGGGACTCACCCGATGACTTGGGTGGGGAGGATCGACTAGGGTGATAATTAATTTGATGAAAAATTGTTTTAGATAATTAGTTTCATTCATCTTATATTTGTACGAAATATTTGAATAATGTCATCATTATCTTCCATTATTGAAACCTTCAAAGTTTATTCTGAGAAACACAAGAAATTCACAGATGCTGATCTATGTAAGCTTTTATGTAACTATTATACTTCATCAGATGTTGTTAATCATTATCAACAAGCTATCAGACAACTTGATACAGAACCGTTAAATGAAAGTTATCAATGGTTATTATTTACCGGTTTTCGTTCACTTACTAGTTCGTTTTTCTATACTGATGAACTTCGCGACAAACTTTGTCAGTTTTGGTTACCAAAATATGAATATATGCTTAAAGAATTATTACCACATCCAGCTAATGATATACAAGATAAATATCCTAATCATTTACGACTAAATGCAATTAAATATTTAATTACAAATATGATTACTAACCAACGAACAATAGAAAGTTCAATTCATCTTCTTAAAACATATGGACAATTTCAAAATTTTTCACAAAAGGATCAATATTTATCGATTATTAAACTAATTTCATCATTGTTAATCAATGAACATTTTCTTGAAGGTGTCAAAAATGATGATTATACAAACATTAAATTTAAATGGAATGGAAATGATCCTTCAAATACAATAAATGTTAAACCTACAATCGTTTTATGGATTATATTAAAATTGATTATTCATTTTATTAAGACAGATGAAAATTGTTTAATAGATATTAAATATAATACAAATATCAAAGAAATATTATTAAAATCAATGAGACAAATTGAAGATAATCATCCAATAAAAACTTCTGCTTATGCTGTTTTAACTTTGTTAATCAATGAAAATGATATTAAAAACGAAATTAATAATCCAAATCAAATAATTTCGGTATTAGTTGATAATGTTGATCAATCTTCTCGATTTTTATGTAATGGAGTATATATTATAGATCTTATGATAGCATTAAAAGGTATGCTTCTTTATGTCTTAGTAACTATTCAGAATTGATCCTATTCACCTATTAGGTGCTTTTGATGAAATCTATATTTTTTTTACTTTTTAGTATATATGATCTATAAAGAATAATATATCTGGACGAGAATTAACATATCGATTATATAAGAATTAATGACAAATTTTAGAGATGCGACAAATCTTCAGATAAAATTGAACTTTGAGTATCGAATTGCTTCTGAATCAAATTCACAAGTATAGTTCTTCGATTTGTTCATCGTTATTGAATTGAAAACTAGTTAACAAACAATAATTTTTTTTTCTGCATTCGCTAAATCCCTAGTAAAGTAGTGATTGTTAAGACTGGAACACTTTAGATTGTAACAATATCTCTAAGTCTTTAAAGTCATTCAAATAAATCGCATTTGCACACATTTACATGAAAAGATTGTAAAATATCTAAAGAGAATTCTAGAGATTAGGAACTTCGACTTGGAACTAGAATTGACATTGGCAGAGTTATCCATCTTTATATAGTTCAATTGATAGAAGTGTACAATTGTTTTTAATATTGTGATATGTTTGCCTTGATTGACGAATGCAAAATGTATATGCCATTAAAAACAATCGTACACGGTGTCATACTCATCTTTGGTCATCTTATATCAAATCATGTTATTAATTGTCGTTTCAGAATCTTGTTCTTGATAGTTTATCCTAAATTAAATATAACTTGATTCGACATAAGCATAAATTTTTAAAAGTTCAACGTCTTTCAAAGATTGAAAGAGGTTATAACTTGATTATATTAGTATCAGAAAGGCACTAAATATATATTAAACGGCTCTTTCAACGGTTTAACGAACTTTAGATTAAAAATTTTTCTTATACCAGAATACGAATGTTCATAGTTGAATTCATGCTTTTATCGAATAAAGAAAAACAATGTTCTCTAGAATATGTAGAAGATTATATCACAAAAAGAAAAATTTGGAAAGTTTCATTCAATCAGATAGTTTTAGTTTTCAGTTCTCATCTTCTATACTTTTATAAATAGACAATTTCAATTGAGAATCGTTTTCTACTTTTCAATAGAGCAAAATATATCTAAATTATAAGTTCGCATTTGAAATAAAGATGTTAGTTTTCAACATGTCATTATTTTATTTACTATTTTTTTGTACATTCCAGTATTAAAAAGAAATGTCACATCAATTTGAAACTAAAATACATGACGTTCGCATAATATACGGTAAGAACGAAATTACGAAAAGCATTAATCAGTAGTTCTCGATGTTGCCAGAGAAGAACAGAAGAGGCTTCAATCATGCAATCTAATGCACTCTCATCACAATTTGAAAATTTCACTCGAGATATCTCTTGAAATGTATAGAAAACAATCGATGCTTATTTCTCATAGTTAGAATTCATTGAAACTGTGATTGACCAAGAGGCTCACACCCGGTATAACTGTAACCGTCGTCTATCATTATGAGAAAGGTGAAATTATGTTAGTTTTGGGATGATATACCTTGAAAAATAAACATTTGAGAGTGTCTTCTATGTCAAATAGAAAGCTCATGCAACAGAGTTGCTCAACATCTGACACACATTAGAAGAAAAGAATTTATTAGAAACTAGACATGAAAATTGACCATCATTTATACCTCTGTCATACACAAAATCGAACAACCGCGACTGATAGTCCATAAGAATGACAATGATTAGCTGCAGGATGCTTCAATTACTTCATATTAGAAAATCTCAAAAGAAAATTGATGCATCCGAAATAATCGTAAATGATGACAACAGTGATTTCTTCAGCAATAGTTCATAATCTAGAATTTTGTCAAAATTCTAGATAATAATCACCACAGACTCAACTGAAGGACAACTGCTAATTTTTAATTTCAGAAAAAATTTAAATCGCGAACAAGATTCTGATAGTGCAACGATAATTTGCTTTTTTTTACAAATTTGACATATTGATGTTAGATGAATAATTATTTTCATTTCCTACAGCATTTTTACAACATGATCAAGTCCAAAATGGATTCATTGAAAACGAGTATTTAGGAGCATTAATGGATAATGCAAGTGGAATTTTAGAATTTCCACACCCTCTTAATCCGTTCATCGATTTTGAAGCTGAAGTAAAACTTCAACTACAAATAGATTCAGAATATCAACAAGAACTAGAAGCTGACCCAAAAATTTCAGAAATATATACACAAATTAAAGAAAATTTCAAAATTGATGCACAAGAATTTACAAAACACATAGGATTATTGGCATTAGAATGTCTTTTTCTAATGTCATTTAATAAGAAAGCATCCGAAATAATAAAGAAACGTGAAGATTTTATGTCTGAAATTCGAAAATTTGCTAATGATAATAATTTGATAAAAACCAATGGACGTTTGAAAAAAGTAATAGATGGTTTATTATGGAAATTAGAAAATGAAGATAAATTTAAAAAACAACAAAAAACAACAGCGATCAAAAAAGATAATGAGTTTGATTTGATGATTAGTTACAGTTGGCATGACAAATCATTAATACATGACATTTATAAATATTTAACACAACAATTTAATTATCGAGTATGGTTGGATGAAAATCAAATGACTGGTTCCCTATGTCAAGCAATGGCAAAGGCAGTAGAAAAATCGAAAATCATTCTTATGTGTATGTCAGAAACTTATAAAACAAGTGGACATTGTCGAAATGAAGCTGAATATGCTCGTGATAGAAAAAAAAATAATTATTCCATTGATTGTTCAAAAAGTTGAACGTGATGGTTGGCTTGGATTTATATCTGCTGGAAAAATCGATATTGACTTTATAAAAAATGACTTTCAAGAAGCTATTCATTTATTAAAAGTTGAAATTGAACGATATGAATACAATGAAGAAAAAAATATTCCAAAGATTAAAACAAATGAGTAATTATTTATCTATATCTTAAATAAAAACAATATCTTTATTTTATATTATTTTATAGAATAAATTCGTCTGTTGCTGTTCCTATACCAGAAACAACGAAATTACTTGTTCGTCCAGCTGTCATATCTAAAGACTATAAAAAAATTGCTCTAGAATTATGGTCTGAACAACATGTTCAAGATTTTCTTTATGATAATAAATTAGATATGATGATTTTATTAACGGAAAATATGAATGGTGAACAACTTTATTTATTATTAGAAAAATGTCTGCGAGACCAAGATTGTTGGACTACGTTTGATCATCTCAATAGAGAACTACAAGAAAGACACAAAGAGACACTTCAAATATCACTTTACCTAAGATTTATCAATCTGACACAGAAATATATGAATAGATCATCATTTTAAATACAAAAATTAATTTTTACACAGTATTATCCGGAAGGAAAATACCATACTTCATATTCAAAGTATTTGTCATTTTAGACCAAAGTCAATATTTTCTTAATTCTAGTATTCTTTAAGATATTGTTCCACTTTAAAACATAGCTGTTTAGGTGGGTGTGGGTGTGGCTCTGGGTATGAATCTTGTTTATGCGCAAATTCACACCCCACATCTATCTTTATTTTCAAGTTTTCCTTTCTTCAAAAATTCTTTAATCTATATATCGGAACAAAAATATCCATTTATTTTCCATGCTCATTTTTATGGTATTAGTGTGTTTTTAGAGAAAAAAAAGTCAGTTTTGGCAAATAAACAAAAAAATCTGACTCGTGTTGCCTGGCATGCATGTCATACTTGAAAGTTGAATTCAACTATTACTTCAAGTATTCAACTATTCAACTATTCAAATTTTAACTTCTCTAGTATTCTGCGAATATTCAGTGGAAAGGGCGTCTTCCCACCTAACACACCTTCTATTTCAGCGTTGCAACCTGGGGCGTTTCACGCCCCCCCCCCCCCCCCCCCCCCCCCCCCCCCCTCCCCCCCCCCCCCCCCCCCCCCCCCCCCCCCCCCCCCCCCCCCCCCCCCGAAGAGCCGCAACCTACGCACGTCTCTGTGTACACCATTATTCCTACTCAGCGCTGCACATTAGCTCAGGCTTCTCACATGCCTCTTATGGTATCCTAGATAACTTCTGCAGCATCTCAACCAAAACCTGTAGTATTCTAGGAAATGCTTGTAGCATTCTTGGTGATACTTGTGACATCGTAGGTGACTGTTTCGGCATCCAGATATGCTTGTAGCATCCTACAGGATGCTTATAGCACCATGCAGGGTGCCTGTAGCACCATGCGGGATACTTGTAGTATCCTAGAGGACACTTGTAGCATCCGATGGGTTGATTAGTTGAATACTTGAACAGTTGAACTTGACTAGTTGAATAATTGAATTCAACTTTCAAGTTTGACACTACTGACACTTTTTAGTAATCTCAGGACAAAACTTCCTGGGACTTTTCGTGAGACATCTAAAAAAAACTGATTGAGACTTTTTCAGAAAATGATTATGTGAGACTCTTTGAGACTTGTTTTAGATTACTATAAAGACTCATTGAGACTCATTGAGACCTCTCATAAATCTCAGAAAGAGTCTTTTTGAGACTTCTGGTGAGATATTTGAAAAAAAGGCTGATTGAGACTTTTTTGAGATTCCTAAAAGGACTCATTGGAACCCATTGAGAGCTTTTATAAATCTCAGAAAGAGTCTTTATGAGACTTCTAGGGATATATTTTAAAAGAAGACTAATTGGGACTGATTGAGACTTGTTGAGACCTTTTGCATGGGTATGGGATGCCGTAAACGTTGGTTACCAGGCCGTTTACGGCTCGGCACAGCTTTTTCATTGTCGTTTACGATGACTTATACGGCCGGTTACGTTGGCATAGCTTGGAGGCCAGCCGGAAATACGGCCGTATACGATCGTCGTATACTACCGTATACGGCACGGTGAAATACGGTTCTAATACGGTCCCTCGTAATACTGCGTATTTACGGCCGTAAATTTGACGTATATGGTTGTTTACGGCGCCGTATACGGCCGTCTCTGGTCGCTGTAACGCTCGTCCTGGGGTAAGATTGAGGCGATATAAATATAGTAAAATGTGGAAGATTCTTGTAATTTTGAAAGTAAAACACTTAGAGCGTTTCTTTATACTCAAACAGCAGCTGACTTCTGTACTTCAGTCGAAAGCGATAATTTTCAAATGGTTGACATGTTTATCCATGAAAATCAATATTTTACATTGATAGCTATCAACTGAGAACTAAACAGGGTGTGTGTGGGTGTGGGTGTGGGGTATGGATCAGAAATATACCAGCACTAACTTACCCACACTCACACCACCCACACCCACCCTTAAACTGATAATAATTTATAGAACAACTTTTATTCAACAATCAATGATTAATATACATTTTGATTAGAATCACTCTAGACAGATAAAGAAAAATATAAGAAATATATCTACTAAGAAATCTTCCTTTCAACTTCAAATTTCTCAACCGAATATGATACAATTTTTGAATTCTATCCGTCTTTCTACATATTTTTACTAAATAATATGTACTAACTTGAGATAACTTTCTGAAGTTATTGCAGGGTGTGGGTGTGGGTGTGGGTGTGCGTGTGCGTGTGGGTGGATGTGGATGTGGGGTGTGTGGGTGTGGGTGTTGGTGTGGGGTGTGTGGGTGTGGGTGTTGGTGTGGGGTGTATGGGTGTGGGTGTGTGGGTGTGGGTGCTGGTGTGGGGTGTGTGTGCTGGTGTGGGGTGTGTGGGTGTGGGTGTTGGTGTGGGGTGTGTGGGTATGGGTGTTGGTGTGGGGTGTGTGGGTGTGGGTGTTGGTGTGGGTGTGGCAATCAGAAAACTCAAGATACCCACAAGCACACCCATATCCACACCCACACTGACACCCACACCGACACCCACACCCACACCCCACACCCACACCCACACCCACACACATCCACACCCACACCCACACCCACATCCACACACATCCACACCCACACACACCCACACCCACACCCACCCACACCCACACCGACACCCACACCCACGCCGACACCCACACCCACACCCACACCCACCCACACCCTTCATTTGATTTATGTTCGTTGAACTAATGCGTCACATCGAATCCAGAAATTGAACTTCAATAACATTCACTCTAAGGTATGTCTGTAAGTCTATTAAATGCTTACTTGCTTTCTTAATACGAAAGTTTTATTTTATATACTAATGATTCGATCATTTAATAAGATGTTAAACAAGTCGAGGTTATTGGGTTGCAAGCCAAGTTTTCGAACTTGAGAAACATTCTTCATTTCATTCACATAGAAGTCATGAGTCAATCAAAGCTAATCTTTACTTTATCATAATTCAATCACTTTTCATTTCATGAATGACTACTTATTAAGGCAAACGAAATTTAGTAAAACATAAATATCACTCATTGAATGATATCAACTATTTTTAAATATAAATTTGAAAATAATCGTTCTGTTCTGTATTCTGGAGTAATGATCATTATTACGTATCTATGTTCCTGAACTGAATTGATAGTCTCTCTTAATCAAAAAATTGATCTTTATAAAAGTCGACCTAATTTTAATAAAAACTCATCATTAAAATTAGATTTGTTTCAAATAGGTGATGTTTGTCTATTAGATATTTTGTTTTTAAATAAATGATGATTATGGATAACTTGATATTTTTAAACTGTAACTAAGATATTGTAATGCGACTTTATTCTATTCGTTGATACTTTGTAGCAGTTAGATTTGGTGTTCATAACCGTAGTGATACCATGACTAAGATACATTTGTCTTCATTAAAAAAATATCTTGGCCTAACTGTTTGATTCAAAAAACATTCTTATTTCTGTCTTTTTATTTTTCGTACGACGTTGTGTACAAATTAAGGCTATTGGAAAAAAATTCTCAGAAAAAACTCTAATCTAACTTTCATGATTGAGAATAATATTCGAAGTCGTTGATTTTAACATATGTATCATCGTATTATGAAACTGTAAGAATTCATAGAAATTTAAGAAGAAAATTCATATCGAATTTTTCTAACTTTATATGAAATTATTTACCTTCAAGAGAAGTTTGTTGAAACTTCTATTGGTCCAAGAAGAAAACATCACTTATATCAACTTATTTACTTAAAAACTAATTTTTTTATTCCGATAATACAGATAAATTTTTCTGTTACTTCGAATGACTAAAAATGTTAATGAATATTAATCAATTGAGTTGGTCAAATTAAATACTCATTATAAGATCAAGATAGATGTAAAAACCAATTAGTCTTTTCTCCAATTCGATTTAGTTATGATTTTGTGCTTCTGAGTAAGTTATATACGAAGTCTGCATAAAGTGACAGATGACAAATTATGACTTGAAAAGCTGACAAATTATTAAAACCTATTATATTTCTCGGTTTATTAAATCTATCACGATCTTTGCGTATAAGGACAATTACAGCTCAACAAAAAATCAATCAACACCTTAGTATCATCGATTAGATATTGGTATAAGTTATCCAAGTCTCGGGAAAGAAACTGTCATGAAAGTTTCCGATACTCTTAATGGAAGCAATCTTCTTAACATGAGCTGCAAATTGAAGCAATACTTCAAGCTGATATCAAACACATGTCTGTGGTTGATTTCATTCACTAATATGGATTTATGTGATCTAATTCTGCATTAATAATGCATTCAGTTTTTAGTTATTCATATTCACGAAAGTATTTATTTTTACTATCGAAAAAAATCAAATTTGAATGTATATTTTAATGAGAAAATCACGCATCAATGAATGGTTACTTTTTGCCTAGTTGATCTGAGATAATTTCTATCAAGCATTCTGTCATTATTATGTACTAAAATAACTATTTTATAATATTGGAGCTGAATGTAAATGACGTATGTATATGATTAAAATTGAAACGAAAATCAAATTTTCGACTGATGTTTAAACATTCAAGAAGAGCGACAGGATGTAGAGATAATCCTGTACAAAACTCAATTCTCGTCGAAATGAAGGATGCATTTTTACTTGAGGAAACACTTGATATTAAAACTTATGTTTCCTATAAATAACGAATTTGATTACTTGTTCGGTAATATGAAATTTAGTGTCTATAAGATTGTTTAAAGAACGAAGTGTTAGTCTATTTTACATATTATAATAGAAATTATGGACATGAAAGGTTACCTAGAATTTTTTCCTTATTATTACCTAAATATTTCTAAGACTTTTCAATCGACGGTTCAATGGAAACATAACACAATAATGACCTTCTTTAGAAAAAAAAACTTATTAGGTTGAGCTCATGAATGTAGACCTTTTTTTAAATTCAAACCTACCACTGAAAATCATACCAGCACCCTATTCTTC